TATCTACCTGCCACTTTAACTGCAAGCATTGTTTGATTCCCCCGAATCCAGTCACCTAAAGGGCAGAGCATATTGCATGGCCACCCGCACCTGCCTTCTGTGTCTCAGAAGGAGCAGCTTAGTAGGTTCCAGGGTAAGTGATGGAGAGTGACCCAGTGAGATTGCACGCACAGTCGTGTGTTGCTGAATGATGGAGACATGCTCTGAGAAACGTGGTGCTCGGTGAGTTCATCACTGTGAGAGTGCCATAGAGTTCTCACACAGACTAGGAGAGCTGATCTTATGGGACCATCATTGTATACACGATCTGCTGTTGACTGAGATGCCATTGTATGATATGCAATTCTATACTGCCTTCACATCCAATGGGAACCATTAGATATTGTCATCACCCTACCATCAGGTAGCTGACATGGCCTAGTTGTGGAATAGCCAGCTACAACACCTTGTCCTTCACCTTAAATGCATATCTTGGTATGTGTCACACCCTAGAGCTGTCACTGAGGTAGAGGATCCCTGAACTTGTGTTGGATTTTGTGCTGGATAGCTTTAATTGTCAACTTGACACACCTGGGTAGAACAAGCCTCAACTGATGAATTTCCTCCATTGGACTGGCCTGTGGCCATGTCTGAGGGGCATCTTCTTGATTGATGAGTGATGTGGGAGGGCCCAGCCCACTCTGGGTGGTGCCACTCCTGGGCAGGTGGGCCTGTGTTGCATAAGCAGGCTGAGCGGGGGCCAAGGGAGCAAGCCAGTAAGCAGCATTCCTCCATGGCCTGTGCTCCAGCTCCTGCCTCCAAGTTCCTGCCCTGAGTTCCTACCTTGAGCTCCCTGATGAACTGTGACCCGGGAGTTGTAAGACAAATAAACCCTTTCCTCCCCAAGTTGGTAGTGGTCAGAGTGTTTTGTCACAGCAATGGAGAAACAAACTAGAACAGATTTCTTTCATACTCTGTCACACAGATGTCTTTCAAATGCCTACAGTGGTTATGCTTTTTCACTAGTTTCATTAAGTCTGTTTTCAGTGTGATGGACTGGTATGACTTGTTTTTGGAAGGGAAAAGCAATCAAGAGTTCTCAAACTGAATTATGATATTGGGCTGAAGAGTTGATATACCCAGAGTAACGCAGTGAGGGGCACTGCTGGCTGTAGCAGCAGAAGGCAGCATTTCCTTACCTGCCGTTCAGACAGGTATGAGGGAAAAGCAATCTTCAGATCATGGCTTAGGCCTTTATTAGAAGATGTGTGAATTTGCTCAAGTAGTGGGCTTGGTCTGGTACAGAAGGTGCTGGTAGAGCCAGTAGCTGGCCCAGCTTTTGATTGTCCACTTTATTCAAGAACCACCTATGTTTTGCAAATAGGTGAGTTAAATGGAAGCGTGATGAGTCATTGCCCGTGTCTCCCATGCCGACTGGAATCTCTTCAGTCTCCAAGTTGCCTTTGGTTTTTATTGTTTTCTTTTTTTTTTTGAGGTAAAAGCATTCTAATAACTTCCCCCTGGGCTTTCCCACCATAACGGTCCTCACTTTACAGATCAGGAAACCAGTGTGGGGATGATGTCAGCTGCTGAAACTGGAGGAAAAATGAAACAAGATGGGTTTGGGGACCAGCTAGGGTATGAGGTGGTCCTGAGAGAAAACTCCATTAATCATGTGACCTCTGTACATTCCTACTCTGATAGTGAGTGGCAGTGATATTTTGGGTCTTTAGGAAATAGTATCAGCTCAGATGCAGTGTCCTGTGTTGCTTAAAGATCTGATTAGTTTACCTGAGGTATGGCATCGTAGTCTGATTACTTAGCCTGATTGACTCTGTCTAAATCTTAGGTTTTTTTTTTTTTTTTAATTTTAGATAGGGTCTCATGTAACCTGTGTTGGCCTGGAATTCACTAGGTAGTTGAAAACAAACTTTGAACTTCTGATCATCTCTCTTCCACCTCCTAAGTGCTGGGATTATAGGTGTGTACCATGGTGCTCAACTTTTAGTTTGTTTTCTATTTCTGTAACAATATCTAACCATCTGGGTAATTTATAAAGAATAGAAATTTATTGGCCTGTGGTTCTGAAGGCTGAGAGGTGTAAGAATAAGGTGCTGGTACCTGCTGAAGGTTGTCTTATTGCACATCACAGAGGTAGACAGACCTAACTCACCCTTTATAATGGCATCAGTTCCCTCCTGTGGGCAGAACTCTCATGGTCTGCTCAACTGTGAAGGGTCTGACTTCTTAGTGCCATTGCATTAAAGGGGCTCATACATTGGCAAAAACGTCACAGAGTCCAGATTAATATTTTTCTGCCCTAGATAATGGTGAATGTGGATTTTCAGTGTGGAAATGGCATGATTTGGTTGCTTTATGATTTCTCTGGTAACACTTGGAAAAGAATTTTGGAGAACAAGAGAAAGAATTTCAGGTAGTAGGTCTGTGTGGAGCCATAGATAGACATGGGGCATGATACCTTCAGGGAGCTTATTTTGATTACCCATGGAGCTAGGGTTCCCATGGAGACTGTCTGCATTGTACTACATCCTTGTATTTCTGCATTGGCTGAGGTTGATTTAGGCCTCTAGGGGAAAAGGTTGTTTTCAGCACATTTACCCGGATTGCAGTGGTTGACAGTTGACACTGATGTTTTAGACAAACCTTTTTAGGTTTCTATTTTCCCACTCTTTCCCCTTTTATTTTTAGTCAGTAGGAACAGTAACAACAGCATATTCAACTCTGTGGAATATGGGACTCGGTGTTTGTAGAGGCTTATCATTAGTTAAGAGCTAGAATAGAGGGTTTTTTTTTTTTTTAAACTTAGAGAGCTGTTAGTAAACTATGCCTACTTATCAAGGGGACAGTATGTGGATAATGTATATTTAAAGGATGGAGGAAAAGAGGGAAGAAGGAAGGGAGGGAAAGGGAGCGAGGGAGAAAGATGGTTTGGTACAATTCTTTGTTTCTTTTGTTTTTATTTCTATTTTTGTTTCTGTTATTTTGTAAGTGGAGCAGTCATGGGTGTGGTACTGGATGTGATACTGAATCTTTGAAGCTAGAGTTACTGATTTTGTCCAGATTTCTTACTGTTTCTAGTTTCTGCTAATACACTTTTTCTTTTTCTCTAAATATTTTATTTATCTATCTATCTATCTATCTATCATCTATCATCTATCTATCTATTTATTTAATGTGTATGAGTGTATTGCCTGCACATGTGTAAGTGCACCCATGTTGATCAATGCCCGTGAAGGTCAGAAGAGGGTGTTGGATCCCCTGGAACTGGAATTATGGATGATTGTTAGCTGCCATGTGGATGCTGGGAATTGAACCTTGGTCCTCTGCAGGAGGAGCCAGTGCTCTTAACCACTGAGCCATCTCTCCAGCCTCCAATACACCTTTTTTTAAAAATTAAAAAAAAAAAAATTTGTAGTGGTGAGATAGGAACTAAAGGGGGCACTCTCATGGGCAAATGGGAACTAAGGCCCAGTGTGCTAGTACATGCCTTAATACTGACACTAGGAGGCTGAGACAGGAGGATCAGGAGTTTAAAGCTAGCCTGGCCTGTGTGTCAAGACCCAGTGTCAAAAAACTGAAAAGTAGAAAAGAAATGAATAGGTCTTATATAAGTCTAGTCATAGGACAGGACGGGGAGCTCTATCAGCCTTTGATGCTTTTTTTTTTTTTTTTTTGAGCTAGGCAGATTATTCCAGACTAACAGAGTAATTAAAGACAGGCATTTTAAAGAGGTAAGTACTGATACTTAGCAAAAATACTTTCATAAAGGTTTGCAAAGCCTAGGAATGAAGGAACTGCAGTTATCTTTCTTGTACATTATCTGGAATTTTTATAACTGTTCCTCCAAGGTCTTGGCTGGGGATATTGTCATGTGTCGTTTATCTTGGGCAGCTTGCCCGAGTGCAGTGTTCATCTTATTTGCTCTTTGTATCTTGTGCTGTCCCCTTTACCTCACATTCATCTTCTTTAAAACTAACGTAGCATTGTCTCAGGCATGTGTGACAGATGTGTGGACATCACTTGAGGGGAGGAAGGATTGGCAGTTTGACTTGGAAATGCTAACAAAGTATTCTTAGGTGAGAATAATAGTTTTTAGGTAGAAAAAATGAATATTAAGTGATATATTTAAGAAGATGAGAGTGGATTGACACCTTGCCATTTGTTGTAGGCCTCTATTTAGTAGGAGCATCCACAGGAAGCATCCATATACAGAAAATGAAAAAACAAAATGGTATTTGACTAGTTTTCAGGACTGGTGTAGCTGGAGCAGCGGGTGTGTGAGAACTGAGAGAACTCACTGCAGACCTGCACTGCAAACCACGCTGTAACCTACACACCTGTGACCTCCTGTCATAGTTACTTTTGCATAACCGTGACCAGTTACCTGAGGGAACTGAGGGAAATTAACTGACTCCTGATTTCAGAGTGGCTTAGTCCATGGTCTGTTGGCCCCATGCACATGGGAAGAAAGTCATAATGATGGGACTCTGTGGCAGACAGAAAGGGAGGGGTGCAGGGAGGGACAAGGCAAGGCACCACTTCCAGGGTACACTCCAGTGGCTGCTTTGTCCAGCCAGGCCCCAGCTCCTACTTTCCTACCTCCCAGTCATCCCATCATATATTGAGTCTCTTACTGGCCTGATGGGTCCAGTGGAGATGAGCCTCTTACCATCTCTGGACACACCTCACACATACTCAGATGGGCATCACGAATCTATGTGTTTCTCAGTTCAGTCAAGTTAGAAACATTGGCCATCACACTGTGTGTGGGGCTTCATTGCAGTTACCACTTACTGGCATTTGTTAGAGGGTCTGAGCACTTCAGTCTGAGACTTACAATCTGAACTTTAGCTTTACATTTCTTTGTTACGTGTGAAATGTAAAATTAGTGTCGCGTACACAAGGCCTGGAGCTTTCAGAAGGAGGTACAGACGTGTAGAGTACGGTAGGGATTACTGTAAGTGAAATTACCATAACTTCAGACATGTTCACTGTTACAGAAGCCAAGGCCGCCCCAAGAGACTGTTTCATTGAAGTGAATTCTAAAGGCGACAGATTTGGCAACTGCGGTTTTTCTGGCAGTGAATACAAGAAGTGTGCCACTGGGTAAGTAGAGGTGAGGGCCCAGAGGATGGTGAGAGGCAGAAGGCCGGTCACCTCAAGTCTCTTCCTGCTGTTGGGACTGCTGTCCCCCTCCAGGTGGTTAACTTTTCACATGGAGCACAGACCAGCCCAGGCTGGGGAGGCTCTGTATCAGGAACAAAACAAGAAAAGCAATTCATTTCTGTGCATGTCGGCCGTGAAATCCAGTGGGTTTGGAACCCGGCTTTGTTTTATCTGTGCTCTTCAGTAAGATTCCTGACTGAATACTCTTTCATGGAACGACTGTTGCTAAGTCCAACATGAAGGATACTGGCAGTTAATCGCGACTTCCACTGTTTTATCTAACCCTGTACGAATTTATTTAATTTTATTTTATTTTAATTTTTTTATTGTCTTTTTGAAGCAGGGTCTCCCTGTAGCCCCAGCTGTCCTGGAACTCACTATGTAGAACAGGCTGGCCTTGAACTCACAGAGATCTGCCTGTCTCTGCCTCCCAGGTGCTGGGACTACAAGTGTGTGCCACCATGCCTGGCTGAATTTTTTTATTTTTAAAAGATATTTTATTATTTTTGTTTTGTGTGTATGAGTGTGTTGCCTGCATGTGTGTAAGTACACCTGTGTTGTGCAATGCCCAATGCCTGCGGAGGTCAGAAGGCGGCGTTGGATCCCCTGGAACTGGAGTTATAGGCAGTAGTTAGCCATCATATGGGTGCTGGGAATCAAACCCGGGTCCTCTGCAAGAACAGCCAGTGTTCTTAACCACTGAGCCATCTCTCCAGCCCCCTAACCATATATAATTTTAAAATAATGCACTGCAACTTTTATTTCTGTGGGCTGGTGAGATGGCGCCAGGAGGCAAAGGTGCTTCTCACCAAGCCTGGTGATCTGAGTTCAATCTCCAGGTTGGAAGGAGAGAACTGATTCCTGAAAGTTGTCTTCTGACCTTCACACATATACCATATACAGACATACACAGAGACAGACAGACAGACAGACAGACACACACACACACACACACACACTCTAAATAAATGTAAAAGAACTTATTTTTATAATTATTGTAAAAAAGGTAATAGTATAAAAATTGTAAGAACGCATATAATTCTAGTGTGTTTCTTCCACTTCCGTTTTGTGTGCTGTACATGCTCACCACGGCATTCCGTGTGGAATGGTGCTCATGCTGTGTGTAGTCACTGCTCGAGCTCAGAGCTGTAGAAGGTGCTGTTGGTGCGAAGCAGCAGCTCACTCTGGTAGCATGCGTGGGTCTTCCTACACCTTGACTTTGTGGTTTTCAGTCATGTTGACACTCCCTTTTTCTTCACGACACCTCTTTCCTTACTTTGTGTAGAATGTCCTCTTCATCAACCCCCTTCTTTCCCACATCTTTCCCCTTCTTTCATCGGCCACCTCTGTGAGGTACTTCAGCCTGGGCGGTGCTTGGCTACATGTGGCTTTCTGCCACAGGCCTGCTGCACCTTCTGTTTTCTTCTTTGCTTGATGAATTCTCATTGTTCAAGCCCCACTTTTAGTCACTTGCCTAAGGAAAACCTCCTCCACTCTCCTAACACAGCAGATGATGCTACAGATGTTCTTTTTTTTAAAAAAAAAATTCAATTTTTTAATTTTATGTGTATGAGTGTATTGCCTATGTGTATGTAAGTGCACCCATGTCATGCAATGTCCCCAGAGGTCAGAAGAGGGTGTCAGCTGCCATGTAGGTGCTGGGAATCAAACCTGGGTCCTCTGTAAGAACAGCCAGTGCTCTATCCACTGAACCATCTCCTCTGTCCCCTCTTACAGGTGTTCTTAATGCCAAGTGCCTCTTTTTCATAAAATTGATGTGCTGTATTTTCATTATTGTTCATAACATTTTCTAACTTACACTATGATTTTCCTTGGCTCCTGAGTTGTTAAAAGTATGTTATTTTCTAAATGTGCTTTCTAGTTTAATTTCATTACGAAGAAATGCTCTGTGGGCTTGAAGTAGCTCAGTCTGTAGAGCTGACTGTAAGCACAGGGGTCTGAGTTTGTACCTCCGACACCCATATAAAGCCAGGAGTGGGCATGTGCACCAGTAATCTTGACTTGGAAGATCCCTGAGGCTCGTTGACCAGCAGTCTAGCCAATTAGTGAGCTCCAGGTTCAGTGAGAGACCATGTCTCAAAAGATAAAGGGCAGAGCAACTGAGGAGTACAACCGTTGTTGACCTCTAGCCTGCACACACATGCATACATGTGCACACGCCCCAACACATGCACATACATGCACATGTACTCCGCACACAATAGATGAATAATAATACATTTAAGAAAGAATGTACTCTGTATGACTTTAGTTCTACCGTGCTGTGTATTATTTCCTGGCCCGTGGCTTGTTTGGTTAGTGTTTCCTATGAAGCTGACGGATGAGTGAACCCTCGGTTGTTGCGTTTCCTGTCAATAATCCTGGTTAGTAGTCTTGATCAGATGTTCTCTAGCTTTGGAGCTGGTCTGTGTGCTTGATCATTCACTTTCTGAGAGATGCCTAATGGACTTTCAGCTCTGGTTGTGAATCTGTTTTCTTTTTCTTTTTGTAAACTTTTGTGTTGCATGTTTTCAGTTTGCTAATAGGCAGATTGTTATTTTAGTATGAATCATTTTCTATCATTGTATTTTCATCATTACTTCTGGAGTGTTCTGTAGTACTTGCCACAGTGTGACTTCTTTATAATCGCTTGCTTTTCACTTTCCTTACTAGGCTAGGCTTGTGACACGTGCTGTCTTCTGTGGTAAGCGTAGTACTTGGAATATGACTATTAAATGTCGATGGAATGGAAGTGTAGGTGGCATAAAGAAAAGATTAATAAGTGAGAATTAAGTAGCTGGTGGAATGAATCAAGGTAAAACCTTGGGCTAAGTGGACCACTACAGACTTGAAGGCAGCTTGGCGAACAGACCGTGTCCTTGTTTGTTTTCTTTAGCTTGTTTGTTTGAGATGGGGTCTTGCTTTGTGGCCTAGGCTGTCCTCAGCCTCCCCAGTGCCGACACACATCCTTGTTTTTAGCCCTGTTAGGTTTTATACTTTCATAATTATCTTGTTGGAAAATGTTGAAACTACATTGTTTAATGTACAAATTCCTAGAAATCTCATTTGAGAAATTTGATGGTACTGCAAGGCCAATAATGTAATGATTAAGAATGCACATTTGGCATTCCTAAGCAGTGTGTAGGAGAAACAGAAATTAAGAGTGAAAATCCCATTCCAAGAAATCTGGGCATATTCTGACTTAAAACCACATGCGAAGGAAAGGGAGTGGGCCCCTTACTTTGGCACACCTCGGTGTAGGAATTACAGATGACAGACTAATGAAATATAATTCCTCTAGCACCTAGCTCAGAGGTGTTATGTAAGATGGGTGGTGTTTTTCATTTACTAATAGGAGACAAAGTCAGGGGTGTGTTGGGGGTGTGGTAGAGTTAGGGTGGAGATGGGGGAGGTCCAAATATAATCAAAATCCATTGTATGAAATTCTTAAATCAATAAAGTTTCTCTTAAACAAACAAAAAGGATGCATATTTGAAGTTAGAGACCTTAACCCACTTAACAGCTCTGCGGCTGAGCAAAGGACTTACCCCACATAGCCCTCATGTGAGATGGGATAACTGGGGTTCCTTTTCTCAAGCGCTGTTGAGAACGAATGAGCTGATGGGTGTTGTGCTATGCAAGGTAGCTATGGTTGTCATCAGCATCACTATCACTCTTTACCACATCCTTAGCATAGAAAATGCATGCAATGTAGAAAACTTTGGAGGAACTAACCATGTTCTGACATCCAGACATATTTCTTAAATTTTCCTTTACCTGTGTATATACATTCACACGCATGAGCCATGTGTCTTCCTTTCCAATACATAGATGATATTCTTTTAAAGTTTTTATTTACTTGGTGTGTATTTGACGTTTATGTATTTTTCCTGTTCAGTCCCATTTATAAAACTACATATTTGTCAACAACTTAAATAGTTAGACTCTTCTAAGGCATAGACAGTGAAGAGGTAAGAGGCCTGGGAGAAATCTTTGTGCTGCCTGCCCCACCCTGGCAGTTTGCATTCTACCCTCTCCTTCTGTATTCAAGGAGAGCAGCTTTGACTGTTGTTGTTGTCTGTTCCCTTCAGCCAAGTAACTGCAAATACTGTTTACATAAAAATACAAACATTTTTTGTCTGTACACTGGATGCATTGTGTTTACATTATTTTTCTTGCTTGATAGGAATGCCTTGTGTGGAAAGCTTCAGTGTGAAAATGTACAGGAGATGCCAGTGTTTGGAATAGTGCCTTCTATCATTCAGACGCCTAGCCGAGGCACCACATGTTGGGGTGTGGATTTCCAGCTGGGATCAGATGTTCCAGACCCAGGGATGGTGAATGAAGGCACAAAGTGTGCTACTGGAAAGGTACCTAAACGTTCTTTACTTCAAAGGAAAGCAAAGATAACTTGGAAAGTGCTATACGAAAGTACATGGCCGCTCTCTTCTGGCTGTAAGAGAAATTTATGCTTATTGTAGCAATTTTAGAAGAAAACTGGGAACAGCTATAATTGTGCTGCCTGTATTTCTTCACTGGGATCATCTGATGTTTTCTATGTTTCAATACACTGTACTGTTTCTTTGTCCTGTTGGTGTGGTTTGATCTGTTAGCCAGCTTGCTGCTATTGGGGAACATAGGTGATTTCCAGTATTCTGGGAGGGACACTTGTGTGTTTCAGGATTCTGTGTGCATCTGTTCGTGCCTCAGTGTCATTAATGCCATGATGCCTGCCCTGCCCATGCTCCCTGGATTTGGCATAAGCCCAGGGTTAGCCAGCCCATGGCTTACAACCAGGGCTTGCATATGAGAACTGACCTGGGCCAAATCCCTTAAAATACGTGCACGCACACGCACACGCACACACACACACACACACACACACACACACACACATCTTCACACAGGCACAGCCCAACATTCTAAAGGGATTTCATTCCCCGGATTAAGGTAAACCTCCCTGTAAAAACACCCCCCGAACCCTCCAAATACATGCGCGCGCTCACACACACACACACACACACACACACACACACACACACACACACACACACACACATACGCATGCAAGCATGTTAAGAAAATAAGAGTGAGAACAGATACTGAGGATTCTTTGATCAGTGCCATGGAGCTGTGGTGCCACGGAGCTGGAATTTTGAGCTTCAGCAATATGAAAGATGCCAGGAACAAGACGGTTGAATGAATTGAAACCAGCCCATGTGGAGGAGTCTGGAGAGGGGCAGGAAGAGAAGAAGCAGGAGGCAGGGCGGGGTTGACAGCCGGATTGCAGTCGACTGCTCATTAGCCTATTGAAGAGACGAGTGGGCACTGGTGCTCCCTTGGTCTCTAGATTCTTTACTCCAGTTCTGTTCTTTATGTCTTGTAAAAAGTACCCACAATTTTGTGCCTGGTTTGTGACTAAAGGTGACTGTAACAGGTGTTATAAGCTGTGATGGAACAAATGGCATTTTATAAGTTTTTTCACATTTTTTCTGTTTTCTAACTTTAAACTACTGTTGTGCACACTTTCAAGGTTTTAGACACAGTTAACATCCTCTTTGGAAAAGTTCATGTTCGTTTGCCCCAACCACTTGTATGTGTTCTCAGTTCTCCTCACCATAGTCGGTATCAGCAGTTTTAACTTGAAAGATCTCAGTGGTTTCCTGTTTATTTCCTACTCTTTTGCAAAAACTCAATGCTAAGAATGGAACCCAGTGCCTACAGCTGCTGTTTTTTTTATTTTCTTTGGAGACAGGGTCTCCTGCACATAACCCAGGCTGGCGTCGAACTTGATATTTAGATGAGGATGACCTTGAACTCCTGATCTTCTAGCCTCTGCCTCCCAAGTGCTGGGATTACAGGTGTGTGCCACCATGCCAGCCTCTCTTGGTTTACTGTATCTTGATTATTAGCGATACACTTTCTGCCTATATAACTTCATTTTTCATGTCTTGCCTGATGACACTCTTTATTTAAAAATTTGTGGTTTCTCACCAATGTTAAAGAACTCTAGCTTAGGTCACATATAGTGCAATGTAGTATGCATCTGAGTGCTTTTATATCAAGTTTCTGCTTGGCACATTGCTCCTTTCATGTCAGTGCTTTTGGCCATGTTTATTATGTGCCTCTTCAGGCACATGACTGTCACTCTTTGTACACTGTTTCAATGTTAGGTATGTGAAAGGCTGTTTTCATAGCACACGGTCATTACTCTCGCATGTGCTTTACGTTTAATTTCTTTTCTTTTTTTTTTTTTTGACTTTTTGAAGCAGGGTCTCCCTGTAGCCCCAGCTGTCCTGGAACTCATTATGTAGACCAGGCTGGCCTTGAACTCACAGAGATCCGCCTGCCTCTGCCTCCCAAGTGCTGAGACTACAGGCGTGTGCCACCACACCCGGCTAGGTTTAATTTCTTATTTCAATACCAACCTCTTTAGTCCTATAGAATATTGTTGTGTGCTTAGAGTATGAAGTGGACATGCATGTTACCATTCATTCATTCAGAGGCTAATACTATATACTGAATTCTAAGGACTTTTAAAAAAGTGGTTTATCTTTTGCCTTGACAGTCTCAATTGTAATCTCATAGTTTGAATCATGTGTTGAGTGTTTGTAGCTGGAGTCAGTTTTCTGCAGCACATTCTTTGATGGATCAGTTCTGCCTTGTTAAATCTGAATGGTTTTATAGTGTATGCCTGACACCCAGTCATGCAAACGCCCTAGTTTTTTCATAGCTTTCTATGGTAATTTCATTTATTTATCATTTTAGAGGAACTTGAGATTGTTTTGGCAAAGATCATAAAGATTAAAAAGTTTGGGATTTGTGGTGGGTTGATAGTAAATGTATGCATTTCTTAGAGGAAGCATTATGTTTCTGTATCTAAATGTGGCTGTGTCCCCACTTGGGAGTGCCTGTGAGAGATATGCTCAGACAGGTTTATTTTGCTTTTGATTCATTTTAGTTGTATTTATTTTACATTTTTAGTTTATAAGCCCTCTCCTATTTTCTAATTTGTTATGCTCTATTTTCAAATTGACTTACTATGGTAAGAAAAGCCATTTTTTAAAATTTTGGCTGGTTATTATTGGTGTATCAAGAAAATTCATTTGTATTTATTTTGTTAGCAGCTTAGTTTGTATCATTGATTATATTAGAATTTTTTAATTAAGCAGTTATCTGTAAATGATAAAAAGCTCATTTCTGAGAGTTACAATTAGAATTTATTTTTCCCACTAAATTTCAATAATAAAACTTTGAAAATATTTTTTGAGTACTAATGAAGGTAGCGTATATGTTTGTTTGTACATCTGAATGTGGCTGAGTACACACCTAGCCTTCAAAGGTTACGTGTCATTTTTCCTGTTGCTTGAGGTAGATAGTATTTGTTATGTGTATTAGTCACTTTTCTGTTGCCGTGATAGAAACACTATGACCAAGGGAACTTAGACAAAGGAAGAGCTTATTTAGCTTATGGTTCCAAAGGGGCAAGAGTCCATCATGGTGGGGAGGTGTGGTGGCATAGGTGGCTGGAGGAGGAGTAGAAGCTAAGCTCTCACATCTTCAAGCAGGCACAGGAAGCAAGAGAGAACTGGAGATCTGGCAAGGCTTAAGAACTCTGTAAGCCTGCTCCCAGTGATGTGCTTCCTCCAGCATGGCCACACCTTCTAAAACTTCCCAAAACAGCGCCACTAACTGGGGACAAAATATCCAGGTACTCAGAGCCTATGAGGGACATTCGCATTCAAACCACCAGTTTATGTAAATTGGCATCTTTTAAATCTTAATGAATAAGAATGACAGAACAGGAATGGGTTTAATAGTAAGTGGTTTTTCATAGATACTGAGATAACCACAGTTTTCCCTCAATCTAGTTCTGTCCTGTTAGCAATAAATTCTCATCATTACCATGACACACTACACACATACACACACACAAATGATACATTAAATACATTTTCTTTATAT